TTAAATTAAGTCTTTGACCAATGTAGATTGCATGTATGAAATTCTCAATAAATTAATGAAAAAATTATATTTAAACAACTTTTAAAATCAGGGGCTTTTAAAATAGTTTTTAAAAATGTCTTGATGGTTAAGAGCATATACTACTCCACAGAGGCCTGGAGTGTAGTCCCGGAATGCATGGCCACAACCTCCTCCAGCTCCAGGGCATCTAATGCTGCCGGCTGATAGGAAGGTCTGGTTCAGGCTCAGAGCTCAAATCATGGAATCCAGCAGGATAGAAAGAGAAGGAAAATCATGGGGACTTGGGGAGCACGAAGCCCTCCCTCTGAGTCTGGTTAAAGCCTCTTGTCAGCTGAGAATCAAAGATTTCAATGTAGTCATGTTTGTTTAAGGCCTTTTCCTCTCCCCAGCTATAAGCCTGCAATTTTCTAGGACAATCACCAGCAGCCCTTTTACAGTAAAAAAGACACATCTCAACCCCGTTTTGCAAACCTGGTGGCTCCAGGTTTTATCTTTCATCTGACTGCAATCCCATCTGCACCTCCAGAGTTGCCCTCTAATCTCAATTATCAAAAAAAATGGATGGAGACAGAGGAAGATAGGGTCCCCTAGAAACAGGCTGAACAGTGAAATTCCAAAAGCTTCCAAAATCCCATGTTCGGTCATCACTAAGACACTTATGCATGACTGTCCCTTGAGAAGTCCATACCCACACTTATTTTCCTCATGAGCACCTCTTTCTATTGCTCCCTCGCTTAAGATCCACGTTTAAGATGTCTTTTACTAAACTCTGACTGGCGCTGGAGAGATGGCTCAGTGGTTAAGCATCAGGACCCGAGGTTGGATCCCAACACCCGCATAAAAAGCTAGGCATGGTCCTGTGACCCCTGCTCTGTGGAGAATGCACATTGGAGGATCCCTGGGGCTTGCTAGCTGTCAGCCTTGCCAAAACTTCTGGAGCTCAGGGAAGGAAGAAGATGGAGTAATACGGGAGGACAACCAACCTCCACCTCTGGCCTCAGAGTGCACATAGGCAGCTGCTGCTGTACACCAATGTGTGCAATACCACACATACACTTACCTTGCACACGTACACACCAGCAAAAGTAACTAACCAACTAAAGACCAACTCTGCTTCGCGTGGGCTCATCCTGATAGTGTTTCAATCTGGAAAATTCTTTTCTCTGGTGAAGCCAAGGATCTAGCTTTACCTGACTTCAAATCCATAAGGGGTCCCTACAAAGTAAGAGAACACCTCAGGCTGCTGTGGGTGACGGTGTTGACCTATGTCTCCTGCTGTACCAGGGCCAACACAATCAAAAGCATGACCAGGAGGGAGGTGAAAATGGGAAGTTAGAGGAGCCCAGGGTAAACAAAGACTGCTGTAGAAACCTTGGTACCCTTCTACCAGAACATCGCTGCGTCTGTCTTCAAGTGGAGAAGCAGGGACCAAAACCACTGTGCTACAATCCAAAGAGTACTGTTTTGGTTGTGGCCCTGATTCTTCCTTCTAAAAGTGGCTGACTACAGCAGGTCATCTAATGGTCCACTCTTTTTCCAGGCCTGAGAAAGAGCAAAAGTAGTGTCCGAAGAAGCACTTAGAACTTGCAATTCGAATTTCAGAATGCTATACGTGGATAGTGGTCTGGAATAGTTAGGATGTTTGTTGTTGTTTGAGACAGACAGAGGCTCATTATATAGCCTAGGCTGGCCTGGAGCGCAGATTCTCCTGATTCGGCATCCTGAGAGCTAGGGTTGCAGGTATGTACCATCACACGGCATATTTAAGACAACTTTCTAATATTCCTATTAGTTATTAATAAAACTGATCAAAACCATGAGACACAAGAGACCTCAGAACTGCTTGCTGTGTGATTTGACTTAAAGTCATCTCTACGCTGAAATGGTCCAAACCAGAAAGTCACATGTGAACATGTCCAAACATACCTGTAGTAGGTACAGTGGAGTAAGTTTTTATCTCCAGCTACAAAGGGGCTAATGTAGTAGACTCCCCCCATCTTAGAGTACGTGTGTGTGTGTGTGTGTGTGTGTGTGTGTGTGTGTGTGTGTGTGTATAATATCAGAGGCTGCCTTCTGAGCAACCCACAGTCCCAGTCCCCTTCAAAAATGCTCTGCAGATGATGGATGATGGATGTGAGCAAAGCCCAGGCCAATGTCTGATTCCCATGAGCTCTACAAGAGTTCATTGTCCTTGGGTTAATAATCTCACAGCCCAACAGGCTGGAAAGCAGGAGTCAGCAGGATGGGTCCAGAATGCTGGCGTCAGAGGCTGCAGCAGCAAGATAATGCAGGTAAATCATCCCCAAGGACCCAGGGAGCAATAAGAATTAAGGGAAAGACCAGAGGAGGACCAGGCTGCTCAAGGAAGGGTAGGAAGTGCATGGACTGTGTCCACACGTGTCACCTTAGCCAATTCCCTTGGCTCCTCGGAGCCTGGCTGTATCTCCAGGTTGCAGGTCTGCTGTAACCATCTCAGAGGTCCTTTCAGTCCCAGATGGGGAACCATAGAAATCCAAACTCTCTGCACAGCCGCTGGTTTAACTGAGAGGAAAGGCTACAAAATCCAGTGTCCTGTGGAGGCGGTGACAGATACAGGCTGCAGCTGTCAGAAGGGTGACCCACAGAGAAGGAGGAAGAGAGGACAGGACTGCTCCTGCCCTGTGTGGCAGCCAGGGCTTTCCTGAGTCAGAACAATCAAAGGCCTTTCACCGGTTTCCACTCACCACTCCCACCAATAGTGAATTGTTTACAGTGACCACATGGCCACAAGAGACAACCAAGGCAATGCTTATGAAAAGGGAAAGACATATGTTAATAACACATGGGACTGAAGTTAGGAAATGAGCCAGCCGTGTCTCTAGGCTTTGAGCAGCCACATGGGCTTCCTGGAAAGGTCTATGGAGTAACACCTCTCTCTGTCACATGATTATTGGTTGGCTGGCTGCTGCCCACCACAGAGCCAGCTCTCTCACGGGACTGAGTTCTCCCAGGTCATCTCTGAGGTACCGATGACAAAACAACATAACACGTTTTGGGGGGGGGCTGTATTTTTCCATTGCCTCCTCTCGCCAAGGAGTGCTTCTAGTCGGCTTCTCCCTACCCCTAGGAATTCTCTCAAGACAGGAAGTAGAAGCTACTTCAAGATAATGGAGCTTCCTGTCTTTGGTACCAACAGACACAGAGGAAGAAGGGGGCATGCAGGAGTGGGGGGGGGCTTGAAGGAGACGGCCCAGAGGCCAGAACATTGACTCTGGGAAGAATGGGGTTTCAGAGAACAGGAAGTACTTCACACCTCACTGAAGACCCTTGGGCTCAGAAACAGCAAGATCTCCAGACAGGAAAGAAGCTGAGACGGCAGAGGCAGTTTTACTGTGGCCCTTGACCAATGACTTCGTGGGACAGATACCCCACACTTGTTACTAGCTGAGCACAGTCCCAGGAAGACAGAGGCTGTGGGATGGTGAATTAATAATCTGTCCACTAAACAGGGTTGATGGTGTGAACTTGGGGTGTAGCTCAGCTGGCAAAGGTTTTGTTTAGCTCACACAAAGCCCTGGGTGTGGTCTCCAGGGCAGAACTGAGTATGGTAGTAAATGCTTACAGCCCCATCACTTAGGAGGTAGAGGCAGAAGTTCAACGTCATTCTTAGCTATGTATATAGGAGCTTTTAGCTCAGCCTGGGGAAACATGAGAACTTGTTCCCCCAACACAAGTAAATAAGGTATAAACAAACCAACAAGACTGGGGCTCAGAGTCACTTTAACTTTGATTTTTAAAAGAAACAAGAAGAAAAAGTTTCAAACAAAAATATATAAGCTCAATATTGATGACTCAAAGCCGGGCATGGTAGCCCACGCTAATAATTGTAGCACCAGGAAGCTTGACCCAGAATATCCACCATTACTTCTAGGTCAACCTGAGTTTCATAGGGAGTACCAGCCCAGCCTGGGCTACAGCATGTGATCCGGTATCAAAACAACTATAACAACAAGATGACTTTTTAAAGTCACCGATTCCCAGGGATTTCTGAGGGTGAGTCACTGCTGACATTCATAGAAGAATGAATAACCCCATTGTCTTGGCTGCACCAGCTTATAGAAAGATGCCAGGTGTATCACCTTAATTCTCAAATCACATCAGCGCTAAACTCCTACCAGATGGCTCTGGAAATCCGGTCTCCAATTCTGTTGATTAGAATGCTTTAGTTTTAAGTATGCAAAATCCAGGCCCAAACACATTCAGGCATGTGTTATCTCCTAAGTAGGAGGTCCAGAGGTGGTAAGACCAGGTATGAAACCAGTAACTCCAGATGCTTAGAAAGCAGTGCTGTGAAGAGCCTTGCTTTGGCTCTTCGGCGCCCATCTGCAAAAGCAGCCAGAGCCAAGGTCTCTCTGACCTTCTCTTCTACCATCCCCTTGATCCTCTTTCCCTGAAGTTTCGCTTCTCTGACTTACAAATGAAATAAAGTTTCGTTACATCCCCCTCCCTAGGAATCTCATTAAGTAACCAGGAAAGATTATCCACTTGAGAAAAAAAAAAACTATAAATTGTCACCAAGACCCAGACGACATTTCATCTATTCTGAAAGCAGCTGACAGATTGGGGGTTGAGAGTGTACCTTATTTGCATAATAAGATCACCTTTGTTCACTAAGCAATTCCACCCTTACCTTCCTTTAGCTCATCCACAAGCTGTTCTGTCTCCCAGACCCACTCAACTTCCAGAAAACCACTTACAAAGCACTCTTTGGTCTCTGTTCCATTCATTTCCCTATTTCTCTGTCCCTTATGGAGAAGCATCAGTATGCCCCAATACCTTATTGGTATACTGAGTAATTACTCTCCCTTGGTTTCCCTCCCATGTGTTAAACGTATCTACATACAGTTTTTCTCTTGTGAATGTCTGTCCCTCCTGCCAGTTACTCGAGCAACCCTTTTGGGGGTGAAAACAGAAACTCCCTTTTTACCCTACATTTTTACCTCTCTGTTGTCCTTAGGATGTTGATTCTGTACTCCAGCTGCTTTTTTTTTTTTTCTGTTGTAAAGAGATGTCTCTGCAAGACACAATGATGTCCAGGGAAGAAAAAGACTTAAAACAGGGACTCTTAAGACAATGATCTCCAAAGAGTAAAAATGTCCCCAGGGATCCCGTTATGGGAAAGAAAAAGGCTGAGCCATGGTAGAGTGGGACCAAGCCGGCTGGGGGGGGGGCTGAATGTGATGCACACAGATCTCAGATGAGTGTGCCTAGGGGTGGAGAGAGCTACAGTGCTGGACAATCAACAGCCACCAAAGCCACCGTGAGCCAGCGGCTTCCAGGTCCTCTGTCTTACAAACGTAATGAATTTCACAGACAATACAACAGTGAGTGTTAGAAAGGAGTTTTATCACAGGAGAGATTATTAAAAGGAGAAAGGAGCTCACATAGGAGGAGCCCAGAGTCCTTTTTTAAAGGACTAATAAGGCTTTACTGGGCTGAGGTAAGGGCAGGTGGGTTGGTCAGTCTAACTAACCCAACCACAGAGCCCCACAGGGTGTCCATGCCCCTCAATCCCAGTAGCTGAACCACAATTTCAATACACACCTTCACAGGCCAAGACAGTGGCTACTCACACTTAACTTCCTGGCTTCTTTGTTAGGGTGCTTATAGAAGAAGAAAAACAAGATTAGAAACAAGAACACAAACCAGTTCCCCCAGAACACAGCTGTGACAAAATCAAGAACATCCCTGGCTTTGGGCCAGGACAGACTATCAGTTTCCTAGGTCCCCCACCCTGAAAAGTTTCTTCACTAACCTGGGGGAAGAGCTGGCCTCCCAGGAGGAGAGATCACACATTTTTGGCAGTTGTGACAGTTATCTCTCAACTTTGTTAAGATATGTATAACTAACTCATTTCCTCCACTCTATTAAATCCTTTCTATGAAGTTATGACGCTCCAGGCTACAGGGAAGACATGAAGAATCTTTCCCTCTCTGGTTTGACCAAATTATAAATAAATCCATTTTCCTGTTACCAGCTTTTATTTTCTAACTTCTTTTAAAATGCTGAAATGGTGGGTTCATGCAGTGTCTGGTATCAGGCTCCCCTCTGGTGTCTGCCCGTTTGAAGCATGGGAACTTCCCGGAAGCACTCTCCTTCAAGTCTTACTGGCCAGACTTGGGAACACCCCCATTTCTAGCTTCCCTTCAAGTCAGCTATGGTGACCTGATCTCCTTGACTTGGAGGGGAGCTCCAATCAACCACAACAAATGCCAAGGACTCTCTACCTTCCCTTCTTGGGTGTTGAATTCTATCTTGTAGACACTCATATCCACCTTTCAGGCTTGCATATGCAACAGTTCATGGACAGCAAATGTAAATGTAATGCAAAATCTTTCCCCCAGATCCACCCTACAGTGCATCCAGTGGACCCCTCCAAACCCCGTTATCTGGCCATTTCCCTTGTTCTGGAATGCATAAGTGGAATAAGTATATTCAGCAGGTGGTAGAATCCCTACGTCAGTTCCCCAGTCTGTGAAATAATACAGATATCACTTACAAGAAAACTGGTTTTTTTTTTGGCGGTATGCTTCAAAGACTAGGAAGTTTAAGATGGAGTATTCATATCCAATGAGCCCAGCTGCTGCTGATGATAGAGCCTCAAGATGAACAGGTTCACTAGTTCACTCAATGAACTCTCTCTGTCTCTGTCTCTGTCATCTCTGTCTGTCTCTATCTCTGTCTCTGTCTCTGTCTCTCTCTCTCTCTGTCTCTCTCTCTCTCCTTTCCTGCTTTCTCATGTTAAAAGTTGAACCCAGGATGACCTCACGTGTACTTCACAGGTACCCTGCCATGGAGGTATACCTCTGCTGCAAGGTTCTCCAGAAAACTCCATATGCTCCATCACATGGCGCTGTGTCTCCTTAAGGAGGGTTCAAAGGTCCAGAAGTCGTGGAATGTAGATGTGAGAGGTGCCACTCAATAAGATGACTCATGAGCAAAATTTTAGCTTCTATTACAATGATATTCTGTTCTGCTGGCCTAGCAGTCTTCACTACTTCCTCCAGGAGATATAACAATGACTCCACTGGCCTAGATGTTAAGACTGCCCTGTCCACTTGGGGTTCATTATGCTCGAGAATCAACAACGAAGAGGAGACACTGGGATGGCTGGGGTAGTTGATGCTCATTACCAAAACGAAATGGGATTCCTACCCTACAATGAAGTAAGAAAACACACACCCAATGTAGAGAGAAAGAATGTGTGTGAGTACACCTGTGGGTGTGCACAAACCTTTTGGCATGCTCTGTGATGTAAGTCAATAGAAAACTATAATTCAATGAAACCAGACTATGAATGTCTCAGATCTGTAGGAATACAAGTCTTCAGGGGAAATAATTGGAACAAAATTGAGATGGTTGTTGAAGGACAGGAGAATACAGAATAGATAAGTGGGGAAGCTGAACAAAACCATGTGACCCAACTATACAAATGATGGCTGTAATTATCACGGATATTTTCTCTGTATTCTGTTATTAATATACATGTGTAGACAGGTAGATGGTAGATGTTAACTTATCTTCCTATTTACCTACACTAAACCCACCTTTCCTTTCCTCTACCCTATTCCCTCACCATGTAACAGAAGATGCGTTGACTTTATATCATAGTATTTACACATTGTTAATTTTACTTCACAATATTTAATTTCCAGGATAGGACATCATGGAGAAAGTAAATATCCCACAAGGACAGCAGTTCCTCCTCTGGGGAAGGGATGTTAGTGGTTTTGGTTTTATGCAGAGTATTTGTATGATGTTAGTAAAAATTATAACCTTGCTATCATCTTTATTTGAAGACTTAATATACATTTGGGTATCAAGTTGACAAAGGGTGGACCAGTGGTAACCGATTTTATGTGTCCTTTTTCCTGGGTCAGGAAGTAACGAAACAGTTGGTTAAACATTGTACTGAGCATACTTTTGAGGCATTTCTGGATGACATTATCATTTGAACTATTAGAATGAACCCAGCAGATTATGCTCTCCAATGTGAGTGAGCCTCAACCAATCCATTGAAAGCTTAAATAGAACAAAAGACTGAGGGATCTTTTGCTCTCTCGCCAGTCTCTCTTGGAGGCCATCAGTCTTCTCTGAGTGTAACTCAGACTGGAACTACACTCTCCACCCTCCAGAGTCTCTTGCTCACCACCTGCTGATACTGGGACTTCCCATCCTCCATAACCATGTGAATCAATTCCTTATTTTAAAAAAATTGTATCTATCTAGATACTGAAAGAGGATATAGGGAGAGGCCTACAAATAGACAGTGATAGTTCTGTTTTTCTGGAAAACCTTGATCAATACAATCAGCTAGTTAAACCACAGAGCCAGGGACACTTTCCCACAAGTCTTTTTTGTGGATGTATTGATTTTTTTGTTTTTCTCTTGGACAATGCCTAGACACCGAATTGCTGGTCACGGAGTGTGTGCACATCTAACTATGAGGAGCTGCCAGGCTGCCTTCCAAAATCATGTGTGAGAGTTCTAGTGGCTCCATGTCCTCATCTGCATCTGGTGTCATCTGTAACTGGAGTTTAGCTATTTGGATTCATGTATAATCATTTTGATTTGCATTTCCCCGATGAAATAATGTGGGCTATTTTTCCATATCCTTACCAGACATCGCATATGTTGTTTTTAGTGAAATGTGTTTGCTGACTTAAACAGTGTGACTTTTGTTCTTGCTCAGCAGTGGGCTCACTCTCTATTTTACTAATTACATCTTTTTTCTTTTCTTTTTTTTATGATTTTCTTTGGTTGGTTGGTTGGTTGGTTGGGATTTTCTTGTTTGTTTGTTGTTTGTTTGTCTGGTTTTTTGAGGTAGGGTTTCTCTGTGTAATGGCCCTGGCTGTCCTGGAACTTGCTCCACAGTGACTGCATCTTTAAATTGCAAGCACTTCCTCACTGCTGTGACTTGCCTACTCATTTTCTTAAAAGTGCACAAACTTTTAACTTTGATGAAATCCAATTCATTGCATTTTAAAGGTTGTTGTTTTCTGTAACCTGGGATGGGGGGAGGAACCTTGACCAACGCTATGGCGATAAAGATACTCTATTCTCCTGAGTTTTCTTCTAGGAGCTTTATAGCACAGTTCTCACATTAAAGTCTATGGTCAATCTAAATCAATGTTTGCCAATGGTGAAGGGTAAGGCTCACTTCTTAAAGATCTATTCTATTTGTATGGGTTCCTGCCTGTGTGCACACATGTGCACCAGCCTGTGTGTGTATAAACATGTGTACACATTCATGTGTCTGAGTACATGCACACACATGTGTGTGGGTATGTGTGTATGCATGCCTCTTCATGTGCAAAAGTCAGAATGTTGCTGTCAGATCCCTTGAATCTAGAGGCATAGGTGTTGGTATGGGTTCTGGGATTTGAACTTGGGTCCTTATGGTTGTACATCAAGCCTTCTTAACAGATAAGACATCTCTCTAGCTCCAAAATCTCGCTTTTTACAATATGAAAATGCTATAGTGTCCCGACATCATTTGTTGAAAAACCTATCAATGACAACATTGGAAAAAGATACTTGATAGTGAATATGAGTCTATTTCCCATCTTCATATTCAGTTCTAATCATAATATTATCCATATGTCAACTGACTCTAATGATTGGTGTGGCTTTCTGGCAAGTTTTAACTCATGAAGTCAAACTCTCCAACTTTGATCTCGGTCTATCTTCAACTGTTCTACATTCATTAATATCTTCTACATTTTAAAATCAACCTGTCAGCTTCTATACCTAACCCTAATAACAGTAACAGTCTTGTTTTCACTTTGTAAGTGGAATGAGCACATACGTGTGTGTGTGTGTGTGTGTGTGTGTGTGTGTGTGTGTGTGTGTGTGTGTGTGTGTGTGTGTGTGTGTTGATGGAGATCAGACCCAGGGTCTTTTTTGATTAGGTCTCACTATATAGCTCAGGCTGGCCTTGAATTTATTGTATAGCTGAGGCTGGCCTTTGAACCCTTGATCCTCCTGCATCCATCCTGTCAGTATAGGGATT